GTACACATGTAACTGCATAGCCCATGTCCTCCATCTCATCTTGCTTGCGCCAGCTCGTGGACCTTCCAGTTGATTTTTCTGCACCAACATATCAAGACAGCTTCTGCCATTGCTTCCTTCCTATCCATTTTCCATCCCTCTTGCCATTGTCTCTCCTTGGACAACCGCAGTTTTCCTTCTGTGCTTCACTTCTTGCTTCAATCAACTCTTATATGAACATTTTCTTCTCCAAAGAAACAATAACAATGTGCCCTGACAGGTGGCAAGGACACAGGTAAGTACAAGATGCTGCAGACTTGTTGCTGCCTTAACTTATCCACACCCCCATTGCTGGTGTTCCTTTGTCTGTAAAGTACACTGTGATTTGAGAGCTACATAATTATAGCTGCAATTAAGCATCCTATTCAGAGACTGCATTGCTTATTCCCCACTCTTTTCTTCAGCGAGATCTTCCATTCAGGGCCTAGCTCGTTTGCAAAGGGACTCTACAGCTGTCTTTTTCTTTTTCCCGCTTCTTTACTTCTTTTGGCAATGGAAACAAAAGTAAATGTAGGTGAAATTGGTTTTTAGAGTTTTTTTTTTTAAGCCATTTCTTTCAGTAGTCCTGTGGCAATATTTTCCTCATTTTGCAGATGGGGAACTGAGGCACCTATCTCGGGTGAGTTCTGAATCAAACCCCGTTTTCATTCCTTGTCTATACGGGAGCTGAAGGATTAAGCAAGAGACCTGCATCAGCAGTATTTCTTACAGGAAACTGCCTCAATCTGTTGCCCTGTAAATGGGAGCAGACAGTAGAAAGAAGCAAAAGGCTTTTCTGTGTTTGCATGGTCAGCAAATACCTCACCGCAAGCAACGATCCTGTGAAGGCAGTTGTTCCTTTCTGCTCTCTTCATACGATTCTCTCGCCTATTTGCCCTCGCGCAGAAACATCAGCTGAAGGACTGAGTGGGAGGCCAGAAGCGTTTGACTCAGTTGCAGCAATTCTCCAGTTCAGCAGCTAGGTTTTCCCCCCGAGGCAGTGTAATATGACAGAAAGGAAGCATCTGAAAGCATTTCTTCATCTTCCAGACTGCAGTCTGTCACTGCCGCAGAAGCGGCACACCTACCTTTCACTGCCTGCAGCTCCTCGGCTTGCTGGAGGGGAGAACAGCGCCGGCGAACGCTCCTTCATCTCCGCCCTAAAATCACCTTGCTTGAGACGTCCTAGCGTTGCCAACGCTTGGGTGTGACTAATGCACCCATTCCTGTACTGGCCTGGCAGCCCTTGCCAACAGAAATTTCAGACTCAGGACAAGCACGGTGTGGCCAGCTGCGCGCGCAACTGTTCCCACAAACGCCCCGGTGCAGCCTGCAGCGAGCAGACGCGAGGAGACACGGAGACACATTCACCACCAAGGCTTTGCGATTCTTGCTTAGGTGCCAACCAGCACAGCCAGTGTTTAACAGCAGCCAGGGCACAGGCACATGTGTGTGTTTACTTTTCCACTGCTGGACAGCAAAGCCCCATCAGCTCTGCTACACTGCAGCTGCAAATTGAGAAATGGAAATCTCTCCATTGTGGTCTCCCTCCTTTGAGCCATTCTGAATCTTTTAACTAGTTCCCACTTCGCATGGAAAAGTCACAATGTATTATAGATAGCCAGGGATATTTTGGCTGATCATGTCTGTTTGTTCTGGAGGATAATGTCCCAGCCCACAAGGGTTTCCGTATGTGTCTGCTTTGTGAAAAAATAATCCTTTCTTTTTATATCTCTTTTCTCTAGGGAATAAATAGATGTTAAGGAAAGACGACAGGATAGGCATCAGAATTTTATTCCCAAAGAGACAAGCACCCGAAGTTTTATAAGAAGAGCATGCAGCAGTTTATGTCACAAGAAAAACACCACCAGGAAACTTATCTAAGAATATATCATGAGATAGGCTATTTAGAGACTGAAATTACAGAGGAAGGACTGGCAAGAGAGATTTATGCTTAGGACAAGCAGAGTTACAATTAATGCTAAATATAAGGTGTCATATCTTTAACGCACAACCTGCACTGCCTTGCAAAGGAAAGTGAAGCAATTAGGCCCAAGTAAGCAGAATACACGTGGGAGGTGTTTGAAGGCAGAAGATTTTAAACACTGTAATGGGGTTGGGGGAGGGTTACAATAAGAGGTAATATTTCCCGATAGGTTAGTTTGCATCCTTTGGAAACTGTTTTGGAAGCAGACCAGAAAGTAGGCTTAGACCTTAACAGGGACTTGGCTGGGAGGACACCCAAACAAAGGTCGAAAGCAAAGAGACCCAGCCCTCCCTGTGTATACACCGTCCCTCCAGCGAGCAATCCGCAGGAAAAAAAACTAAATGGAAGGACGGATGTCATAAACCTGCGTGGATGGGCAACTGCCTCAGCGCAATTTCAAAGCAAGGTTCCTTTTTCTTCTGTCTCTTGAGCTAGTGGTAGGGTCAGGGAGGAAAACCTGAGCCAAAATAATAGTGAAGATCTTCACGCTGGGAAGGAGCTGTGATTTGCTGGTCAATCCCAGGGAGGCAGGGCCAGGCACAGGGATTCCCTCCCTGCCCTCTCTGCCACGTTTCCTCTTTGCCACGTTTCCTCAAGGAGGAGAGCGAGCTACTGCTGGGCCAGAAGAAAGCAGTTTGTTTTCACAGCTCTTCCTTTCAGTGTTTTACACGAGGCTCTCAGCTGGAGGGTCAGGGCATGGCAGAAAGGACTGAAAACCAAACCAAAACACATACAAAATACACTTGATTTGAATGAATCGCTAGGAGAACTGGAGGGAGACACAGTGTGAGGAGGGAGGGTATGATACAGGCATGCAATGGAAAGGGGCTCTCCCTACCTTTACACAACTCTATGCCCCAATTTATCATATCAACCCACTCACAACACTTTATCTTTCAGGGTGAGAGGAGGGGCTAAACCCTTCAGCACAGCAAACTAAAAATCTCTGATGCTTTTACTTGGATGTGGGAAACATTAGCTTGCCTTTAAATATAAAACTAAATATATGTTTGTGAACCTACTGTTGCTTTCATGTGGGAGCCTCACCTGAACACAAAGGATTACACTGTGCAGTTATGAATGAATAGAACAACAAAGATTAAAGAGATTTTATTTAGCTATACATGAAATAGTAAAGTTGACTGCAGCCTCTGGTGCAGAAAAAATTCAGGTAGTTCAATGAGCACCGACACTTAATAAGCTACATCTCGCATGTATTTGTATGCTGTCGTTGAATGGAGTGTCTAAGATGACATAAACCACAGTTGAAGGTTTTCATACAGTTCAGATACTTATTAGTGCTTACATTTGTATGGAGTCGCTGGAGTCTAATAAGGCACAAACTCATGTTGTAACTTTCTCTGTTAGGGAACTCCTTTTATCTATAAGGCCATTTTCACTTGTAGGAGTGCCTCTGAGGCCTCTCTCTGCCAGACTTGTTCAAAATCAGCCAGTGGGTTCAAAAGATATGGGAGAGATGGACAGACAAGCAGACAGGTGTGGACCCTGCAATCCACAAAATTTAAAGATTATTTCTTAAGGGAATTTGATAGGCGGAAGAGTGGATCTCTGCAAAGCGCAATTTCAAATTTTAAGTCAATTTCATGCTAGGAAAAGCTATTGGTTGACAGTCTGGCATACTAACAGCCTCCCTTTCATCTAAAGGAGAAGAAGAGCACACAAAGAGCTAACTTGCCCCACCACATCCTTGGTGTTTTAGACTTGGACCGACCACAGGTGAGGATACCTATGGCGAAGAACAATGCCAGCAGCTCTGATCCTACAGTTTGTGCATTTCATCCCTGTGAGCACTCGGGGCTAACCACAGATGTAAAGCACTGCAGATGCTTCTGAATTGTTGTATTTCACCATGGCCTTGCCTTCTTCCTTATTTCTTTGCTTGTCTCTACCAGCTCTGTCCCTGTCTGCCTTTCAGTCAGTGCGTGCCCTGCAAGCCCCACTGCGCCTCCGTCCTGGTTAAGGCCCCTAGCACCTCTTGCATGCCCCGCAAAGCCATCATTTACCATTTCTGCCTCTAGTCCCTCCGCCAAGACGGGCGTGCGAAGCCAGGGGTGTCTGTTCAGCCTCCCACCAGCGACACTAAACAGCACGGTTGTGTTCCCAGCTCTGCCACAAGCTGCTGGGTGGCCTCAGGCAGAGCACTCTGTCATCTTCCTACCTGCACACAGAGCCCTGCTGCACGGCACGGCACCGAAACACTGAAATGCCTCTGCTGCTTCTTTACAGGGCTTGGAGAAGGCCAGCTAGCAGCCGGCTGGGCTCATCGCCGCCTCAGCACCTCATGAGCATTCAGCCCCCAACTCCAGCCCATGCATATCCTCTCTTTCCTGAGGAAGGGCAGCCTCTTTGCTAAAAAAGGGGTTAGGGGCAATCCTTTCTAAATAAGTTTTTGCATTTCCACCCTACCACAGTTGTAGGGCTTTTCCCCCACACACCACCCAGACCCAGCTCCCCTCCAGGGGCTCTGCTCAGGCATGGCCATGCCCGCAAGCGTGGCTGTGCTGGGGGGCAGCCCCGGGAGCTGGGAGCAGGGGCACAGCCGTGTCCCGGGCACGGCAGCACCCACACCGCGCTGAGCTGAGCCGTGTGAGGGGGCCGGGGCGTCAGGGCGGGGGG